GAAGTGATGGAAGTGATGGAAGTGATGGAAGTGATGGAGGTGGCTTTGTGTAAATGTGTGCTGTGAGTGAAGCAGGGAGTTCGTTGCTGAGTGAAGAGATATTGACTGATACTATTCAGTGTCTTTTATATGCCTCTAAAAGCATTGATTACTTGCTGTTACAAATACACACTGTCCCGATTTGGAAGTAGCATTTTCTTGATGTCAGCGACTACCGGATCCTTGAGCAGCTGAGTTGCTATTCGGGGCTTATCCTTTGCATCTTCAACGAATAGGTTGTCCGCTGTGGTTGCGGGCCTGAACAGCTTGATCTACAAACCCGTGTCACGCGTTAGGCAGTCCGGCTGTGAAGCTGTTCGTGCGCTACGGACTTCTTCATAGAGGCTAGCATTTTGGCCTTACACCATAGCCATGATACCATGTTTGGATGACAATTCGCTGATCACAAATCAGATCGTGGCGATGGACATCATTGAACGGCCCCCAAGGTAGGTAGGAGACGACGCTATATAAGCCTCAAAACTCAGCCTCCCGGGGACATCAGTAATCACAAACATCTCCCTGTGTACTCGAAGTACAGATTTACAGACTAGCAATAGCCCCCAAGGTTTTGGCGCTGGTTCAACGATTTGTTTGGTGATAGTGTAGTACATGTCGGTGGATGACTTTCTCTGCCGAGGGAAGTGACGTGACGTGACGGCGCTTTGACCAGCTCAGCCGCCTACCTTCGTACACGTGCATCCCCGTCTCACGTAAGATACCACCTGCATGCACCCCGCGGTTGTCTCAAAAGAGGAACTCAGTGGCTGACCTGACTTGCGACCCTAAGGCAGATTTCAATTCTGCGGTGACATCATCGCGCTCAGCCACCGCCCACATCTCGAGTGTAACAATCACTCCTTGGAGTCTGGTATTTAGGCAACCAAGACTTCGTCTGTTGCCTGACCATATCTATCTGCTACCGACTGAGCAACAACTAGTAGCCCTACTTACTTCAATATGACGAGCGAATTTTTCAGCAATGCGAGCTCGACCTTCGCAGGCTACGACATCACAGACGATCAGATCAATACGCTCAAAGGTTGTCTCGAAGGCATCATCACTACGACAGAAGCCGCCAGAAAGCTGACAGCGCATCCTGAAGCCTCTTCCACTCCCGTCGAGTTGAAACAAAGGCTTGGTGGGCTTTGGACGCTCTTGAACGACACGGCAGTCGCACTACCGTCTGCGCAACCAGATATTCTATCCGTCTTGCAGAAAATCCGAACGCTCCCGAAAGCAGAAGAGCCAAAGGGAGAAGGAGAAGAGTATATCGAACTTGACGACGGCTTCTTCTGGAGAGAGCTCACAGATTGGGCCAATAACTGGGCGGATGCCTTCAACAGCCACGCCGCACAGTTCCTTATCGAAAAACATGCAGACGACCAGAAGAAAGCGCAACGAAAAGCTGCTTGGACAAGTGCGTGTGCGTATACCGCCCGCCTCGCTGCAACGGGTGATGATGCGCTTTCGTCGTACGGAGGCGGCCTCGATCGTGCCTCACGCGCTATCGCCGAAGCCTTGGAAGTCGACACAGGTGACAAAGAGCCTGATAGCCTCGAAGCCGCCGCAAACCTGTTCCTCTACGCTTCATCTGAGCTATATCATCGCTGCAAGGAGGGTCGGACCGACGGCATGTTGACCAGCACGGCTGGGGTCTGGCAAGGCGAGGAGGGATTTTCCGAAGCGCGCTGGAGATTTTGGACGGAAAGGTGGACTGCCTTGGCTGGACTGCCTGGCATCTCCGAGCATGCTCGTGCCGTTGCTAGGCAGGCTCTCGAAGCTATGAAACGAGTTGAAGGAACTGGGTCTTGAAAGCTGTAGCATCATGTGCCATAAAACTGTCGGCGACATGTAAGCCCGGCTTAGGATAAATGTTTTAATCCACTTAGCTTTGATTTGGGTTATAGCCTATAGCCTTGAGATTACCCTCGTGTCCGCTTCCCTTTGACTTGTTGTTGATTTCCCGGGTTCCATCCTTCGCAATGCCGAACGATCGTTCTCTCTCGCGAAAGTCTTAATGCCAGCAAGGGCAGCCTGGGTAACAGTAGGCAATGCTGAGCCGCAGTTGTTGGAGTCGCTGTGCTGACGCAGAATTATTAGAACATCTTCCGACACTTGTTATCTGATCCAATCTTGGCAAATGTTCCCGTAAGGACACGAGTAATTATTCCTCATATAGTCTTTCGATCCCGCGTAGATGGCGAGTTTCATGTTCTTGGCTACATGTACTCCTCGGCGCCCACAAGACTAACCTACTAAGCGCCTTGGTTTGGGATCCTGAAAATGCGCAAAAGCGCTCACTAGGTTCGACGTGGTCATGATACGAGTTCAAGATCCACTGGTCATACGAGATGAGACGATTGTAATTGGGTCAGGGCACTCCACTTGGAGCGAGCAAGTTATCATGTCTAGGGCATCTGTGCGGGGTTACCAGGAAAAATTTGGGTATTAGTGGTTGGTATGAGTGGATTCAGCATTGCCAAGTTGGCTTCGATGGATTGTTAATGTATTATGCCACGCCCACGCTATACTACTCACGATAGATAGAGTAGGGCTTGGACATGAGACTTGGGGGTGTAGATAGGTACGGCAGACTCGTTTGGACAAGCACTACACTTGCAGCGACCGTGAATCTACAAGACGTCGACTCTGTCAAGAGTTTGCATGTTGGTTGCTACGCGTCAAAAATTAGTTGAAAAATAGTAACGAATTCTCTTGGAAGAGTTTGGTTTTTGAATTCAGAGGTAGTTTGTGTCATACTGTATTGCTCAAATAGGGTATCATATCTAATTTCGTCCATTCAATTCGAATCATGCACAGCATCCCGTCGGTCCAGCCGCGCCAATCGAAGATCTCCGCTCCTCCTTTTCGTCTGGGCTCTCGTACGGTATTCTCACCACCATCCAATCGCAAAGGAACTTTCCTAGAATCGCACCAAGAATAACAGAGATGAAGATAAAGCCGTTGTAGTACATGACCAGCAACATGATGATGTAGGCAAGCCCAAGGATAACGCCGTGGATGACAGCTCGAATCAACTGCTGCAGTGCACTCGCTCGAAACGTCGCATGCTGCGTGCCCAAAGTGGAAGTCGGGCCGTCGCAGCAATTTGCCGGGGCAGCGGCTACCAGCGCAGCTTGCTGAGCGCGCAGTTGTCGCTGGAACTGTCGCAGCAGAAATGCATCGTACTCGTGGGCTACGCGTCGCAGGAATTCGAGGCAGACGACTAGGAGAGCGGCGCCCACGCAGCTTGCGGCGAACATGGCGTTGTTGGTGATGTGCCAAGAGCTTGAGAGGAAGCACGAGTCTACCACATTCCAGTTCCACAGCATCTAGCACAATCAGCAACAGGACTATCACTCTAGAGTCCGATCAGACATACCTCCATCTTGCATGTCGTGTTCCCCGCCTTCATAGTGGAGTGATCCATGATGGGCAATGCGACGTGTGTATTTCCGCGTCACGCCGTTATTCGGCGAGATTGGCTTTGGTACCAAAAAAAAGAGTCTGCAGATGTCTGACAGATTCCGAGCCGTGGTAGCAAAAGAAGTATATAGCAGTAGTCGTCGACAAGCTCAAATGATGGCACCGACGCAGCGGATAAGGCGATATTCATACAGACGCCAAACGCCTGCCGATGAACCCGCTCACGGCACCGTCTCGCCCGCGCGCCATGGCGGCCAGTACGAAGTTGTGTGGGGTTGGATTGAAACAACTTGCTCAAACTCACTCGCGCTTTTCCCTCTTGGGCAAAAGTCAAGACGGCCGGTCCCTTCTCGAACCTTGGCCCTGCGCACAATGTCAAGCATGGCCGGCAAACGCCTGCAACACGATTCGCCCGTTGCATCTTATATAGATGTGTCCAAACCGAGCGTTGTCTTGAAGATGATAGATAGGCCTCGTTGTTAATCTTTGCTTTTTCAGCTGTTCGTCGTTGCGATTGAGCGATCATGGACGCCGCCAACATGTTAGTCCCGCGTGCGCACATCCAAAACCACAGCGAGGGCACCGCCGTGGTACCGCATTGGGGATACGCAGATCGCGTCGTGCCTTGCACCAACGACGCGGGTTCCTGCACCTATCTCGATGTCGTGTACGCCGCCCATGATCTGGGAATGTACTACACTGGAATCATCTGGGCGACCATTGGCGGCATCCTCTTGATCTGGGCTGTTGGACGACACTTTTCACGCTCACAGCCATCGGGCGTGCAATTACCAGTACAAAAAGGAGAAGGAGTAAACCAAAGCCGAAGCGCAATTGCACGATTATCACGGGCTGTTCCAGCGTACGCACGACAATATCTCCTCCCAGATGCCGCAAGACCAGTCTTCGGTCGCGTAACGCGCACACAGGTTTTGACGCTGGTCGTCCTTACTGGCTATCTCACCGTCTTCTCCTTCGTCGGCATCATCTACGGAAAATGGGTCACTCCCGTCAAGAAGCTGCCCGGCGTCTACAACATCCGCACCAGCCTTGGACCGTGGGCGGATCGTGTCGGTGTCATCGCCTACGCCCTAACGCCTCTCTCCGTCATGCTCTCGAGTCGTGAGTCAATCCTGTCCCTCGTTACTGGCCTGCCATACCAGAGCTTCAACTTCCTCCACCGCTGGCTCGGCTACATCATCTTTGCTCAATCAGGCCTTCACACCATCGGCTGGTGCGTTGTTGAAATCCGCTTGTATCAGCCTCAGCCTAAAGTCGCCGTGGAGTGGATCGTGCAACCCTACATCATCTGGGGCGTGGTTGCCATGATCCTCCTCACATTGATGCTTGTCCTTTCCACCCCATGGGGCATCCGAATGACGGGCTACGAATTCTTCCGGAAGGCCCACTACGTTCTGGCCATGGTCTACATCGGAGCCTGCTGGGGTCATTGGGCGCAGCTGAAAGTTTTCCTCTTGCCAGGTCTGCTCGTATGGTTTATCGATCGCGGTGTCAGGTTTATCAGAACCGCATTATTGCACTACAACTTCCTGCCCTCGGGACATATGGGCTTCCGCGCCGCGCCCGCAAACATCACCTTTTTCAAGGACGAGACACACGGAGACGTGGTGCGCCTCGACTTTGATCATCCTCAGGATGCGTGGGACGTTGGTCAGCACTTCTACCTCTCCTTCCCGGAGAGCAGTATCTGGCAATCCCATCCTTTTACCCCACTCAGCCTCCCAGTCTATGGCGCAGACTCCCAAAGGCACTCATACATCTTCCGCGCAAAGAAGGGAGAAACTCGCAAAATCACCGAGCTCTCCGCACTTCGCACTGCTCGGATGACAGATCACGAGCAGCCGCATGAAGGGCTGATGGCAGAGGCAAAGCTCTCCGTCGTGCTCACTGGCCCTTACGGCGAGCAGACACTACGTGGTCTATCGTCTGACTCAAATGTCCTCTGCGTCGCTGGCGGCACAGGAATCACTTACGTTCTTCCCGTTCTTCTTGACCTCGCTTCTCGACCTCAATCGTCGAATCGTCACATCTCGCTCGTCTGGGTCGTGCGACGGAGAAGCGACATCGACTGGGTTGCCCCAGAGCTCGCTGTCCTCAAGCGCAAGTGCCCTAACCTGCGCACCGGCATGCACATCTACGTCACACGCGCTGCGGAAGAGCAAGATGCCACCGCGCCCGCCATCTCAGAAAAGAGAACAGTAAATGACTGCTCCAAGGAGATCGAACCTAGTAGCTCGGATGCCTCGTCCGCGTCGATATCGTCTGCACTATCCGTCCACGGTGTGGCGAAAGCAGACCTGGGCTTGAACCACTACCAAGCAAGACCGGATCTTGGCGTCGTTGTGAGAGACTTTGTTGCGGGAACCATAAGCGGGACGACAGACGTCTATGCTTCAGGGCCTGGCGAGATGATCAGCGATCTCAGGGGGATAATAGCAGGCGCCAATAAGGGGGGAGAGGTTTGGAAGGGAGTAGATCGGTGGGATGTGCGTTTGACGTGCGATGACCGGTTAGAATGGTAGATTCCAGAGGACTATGATACCCCATGAATATAACATTTTCACGAGCATTCTTAATTCATCTCATGTATGCCATCAAATTCTTAGAGGAGATGTACAATGAGATGAGATGATAATGACGTTATCGTGTTTGCCCGCACCCAGCCCTATCGGCTATAGCACCCTTATCGCCGAGTCCTCATACAAACTAAACCCCACTTCATGCACGGCAGCACGTGTGCAGCACGACATCGACACATCTGTCAGCTTCCTCACTATTGCACACCCATATTTTCTGCGTTTGGGCTGCACTGTTGTAGACCTGCCAATATGACGGAGCTTCTCGATCTTTGCTATGATGTCCTGATCCGGATCCTTGAAGAGATCAACCCGCCAGATCTCGCGGCATGCGCGCAGACGTCGTGGGGCTTCAACAACTTCATCAAGAAAAACACTAGGCTGTACAAAGCGCATTATCTCAGAAACTTCGTATGCCATTTGGTGCTACCATGTCGCATATCAGCTGTCTGACTGTCCTTTCAGGATGACCCTCGCCGAAGGCCGGTAGATCCGGAACCTGATTGGGTGTCAGACTTGCAGAAGCTCGTCAAATGCCAGAAGATGCTTCTGTCAGCCAACAATGATGTGAAGGTACACTTGCGAGCCTACTGCAACTAATGCTCTTGCTAAGCCGTGTAGCGAGATGAGTTCAAGTTCATCGCATCGACGGTAGAAAGCCTTATCTCGACGGGCTCCACGGATCCCTTTGGGTACTCGCACAACCAGCAGTTAATCACACAGCTATTCCGGCACATTTCGCAAAATCACGATGCGTTCATGTGTCGCTCGTCGTTGTTTGGCCGGGTGGGAAAGCCTAATCAAAGGCCGGCCGAGGACGTGGAAGACCGCCAGTTGAGCGCAAAGCTACATTGCCTTTTCGGCATTCCGTCGACAAATGCCGGGAGAAGAGTTCTCTCAACACATCCATATGCAAGGTCAAGAGTCTATGATCTGCGAAACTATACCGACAAGAGTGCGTGGGGCCCATTCCGGGATGACGGGAGTATGAGAGTGGATTGGGAGATGATTGAAAGTATCATGATTGTGCTAGGGTACAATTCTGGATTGTGCTGCCGACGGTTCCTCCACCGCTTCAGACCGCCTTGGTCTGAGACCCTGGAGGGAGTGATTCCCGAGCGAGCAAAGATCATGCCTGACTACCCTCCCAAGCTGCTGATGGAGCCCGACATCCCGTTATCGCTCAAGGATCCCTACAACGTCTCGGGTGTCTGGTCGCGCATCGTCTGCTTCTTAGACTACAATGATCTCTACATTTTCAACTTCAGCACCGAGGCAATGAAGGTTCCATCCGACGCGCCGCGGGGAACTCTCAACACCGAGGAAGCCATTCGCCACATTATGATGGATTTGCACATCACAGAAGTCACGGCGCCAGGCCAGTTCGATAACCCCGCGTTACCCATAGTGCACTTCAGTGGCAAATCAAAGTCTGTTGATGCAGCATGGGATCCCAATGCGAACTCGAAGCTTAGGGGCTCCGTCCGCCTCACGTCCGAAGGGCAAGTACGTTGGCAAACGATCTCGGTCTTTCACGGGTAAGTATTCACCTCTCCATAGGCTCTATGAATTGGGTATTACTGACGTGTGACAGCGGAGAGGAGCGATGGCGCAGCGAAGGCGTTCAGGTTGGTGGATTGCGATCAGAGCGGGGCGTGGTCGGGACATGGTTTGATAAAGACTACGACCCGCATGGACCTGCTGGTCCGACGGCCTTTTGGAAGATATGTGATGGGCACATGTGTGGCGATGGAGACGACACTGAGTCTGAAGAAGAGGATGGTGGCTGGTACCTAGGAGATTAGGAATGAGAGTTTAGCATACGCACGCAGTTGAGTTTCTAATCATCTACGAATGGAGCTTCCCTCCCTTTTATATTAAGTATCTAATCGTTTCACATCTCAATATATCTCCATTTCAAATCATCCACGCTGCATCCCGTCACGCGCACTTCTTTCGGTTCCCCTGGTACGAGATCAAATCCATTGTCGCTGAACTTCGTCCCGGGCCTTTCGACAAAAACGAATCCTTTCACCGGCTTCGTAGCAGAGACAACTACTTTTGTCCCATCGTCATAAAGGCAGACTTCTATGTCTCGATCGCTAAACGAAAGGTATTTGATTGGATCCGGCCATGATATATCGGTGGCAACGCATCGACGATCTATAGTTAGCGATGCGTGAATGACAAAAGGGTCTGCCTCGGACAAATTGAATGGTTCGTCGGGATTTTGTGCGCCCGGCAGGTCAAAAGTGTGGCCCTGGATAACTTCTGTCGTTCCATTCGGTGTTATCGTTATGTCGCGTCTGATTCCCGAGCCCAGTTCTTCCCCAGTCTTGATGGAGAAGTACTTGACGACCACCTTGCCCTCTATCTCCTCGCACTTACTATTCGCAACCCAAACATCAAACTCTGCATGTTGCCAGATACGTCGCATATCAATATGGCCGGTTTCACGCTGCCACAGCTCATCCGCAGGCCTCGTGGTCCAGCTATTGAACTTTCGCTGTACGCCGATAACGACTGGCTCCATAGCCCGCTTGATCGCATAGTACGATGGTTTGGGAACGAGATGATAGTCAACGACAGACCAAGACATAGTCGGCCAGCAGTCATTCAGCTGCCACACCAGGACGCCGCCGCACTTCCGAGCCTTTGACGCTCCCCATTGCCGACGCCAGCCTTTGTATGCCCACGACATTGCGTCTGCCTGCATGACCTGCGTCAAGTGTGCAAATCCTTCAACATCGTATCGAATGCGGAAGTTCTCGGCTACGTAGGATACAAGACGGCGTTCATGCCCAATGGCTTTGTTGCGGAAGTCCATTGCCATGGAGCCGGGGTAGCGGTCTTCGTCCCGGGTAATGCACTTTTCTAGAGTGGAGACATGGGGATAGGCCTCCATGCCGAATTCGGAGACGAAGCGGCCACCCATGTCTGGAAGCTTTTGATATGGTTCCATGGTACCGTGCCAGACGTTCCATTGATGCACGTCGCCGATCGTAGGATCGACTTTGAGGACGGTGGATTTACCGTTACCGAAGGGCGAACTTGGATGATACGGCACGCCCGGGAACTCTTCAATCATGACTGTTGGCAAAAGGTATTCGTATATGTATCGCGCGGGAAAGTTCGTCTTCAGCCACGACCGAGGCTCTTTATCATCCAGGTTGTACTCCAGCCCATAGCGCTCAACGATCTGGTAGTCCTCATTATTGCCTGCCCATATCACTAGGCTGGGATGGTTCCTCAGTCTTCGCACATTCTGCCTCGCCTCTTCTTCCACACTCTTCAGATATTCTGCATGTGCAGGGTAGTTTGCGCATGCGAAAGCAAAGTCCTGCCATACTAGTATGCCAAGCTCATCAGCTGCGTCATAAAAGGCATCGGATTCATATATGCCACCACCCCAAACACGTAGCATGGTTTGGTTTCCCTCGGCAGCGAGCAAAACCCAAGACCTATATTCCTCCGGCGTCAAACGGGTGAGCAAAGAGTCTGCGGGTATCCAGCATGAGCCGCCGCAGAAGATGTCGACGTTGTTGATACGGAAATAGAATGACGTTCCATGGGTGTCGGGTTCTTGGATAAGTTCTGTTTTGCGGAAGCCGAATGTCTGGGAGATGGAATGTATCGGAGCTGAGAGTAATGGCGAAACTTTAGTATGCGCATCTGCACGGACAGTGTACAGTGCTTGTGTTCCGTATCCTCGAGGCCACCAGAGGTCTATATCATCTAGTCTAAATGAAACTTCTACGATGGCCGGCTCGTCTCTTGCACTAATAGGCACGGTAGTTCTTGCCACGGTCTCGCTCGTTATCTGATTAATAATGGCAAATGAAACGCCAGCCAAAAGGCCTTCGAATTTGGCCTGGACTCGCACTTCTGCCGACTTCAGATCCGCCGCGAGCTCGTAACTCGCCCACAAGTCGAAGATTCGGCATTTGTATGTTTCTAGCACGATCGGTTTCCAAGGACCGCACGTCAGAAGGATTGGCCCCCAGTCCCAACCCCAATGGTATTGTGCTTTCCGAACTGGGCCGCGCGAGATCTCCGTCTGATGCACGATGAACCTGTGCTCTTTATGCTGCTCTACAAGCTCTAATCCTTTCTTGCGCGCGGACTCGAAAACAATCTCCAAGGTGTTTCCGTCACGCTTGAGCTTGCCGGTGACATCGACGCGACTCTCAAGAAACATATTTTCGGAGGCTAGGATTAGCTGCCCGTTCATAAAAACCGACGCGAAAGTATCCAGACCCTCGAATTTCAGTATGGTCGATACACCCGCATGGCCGTAATCGCGTGGCGCATTGAATGTTGTACAGTACGTCCATGTCTCATCCGCGACCCAACGGACGGAAAGCTCGTTGACATCTTGGAATGGGTCCGCGATCTTGCCATGTAAAAGGAGGTCACGGTATATCTCGGTCGGTAAGTCATTGGCTGCGAGGTTTTCGCTACCGGAAGAGCGATCGCCTTGCTTGAACGTCCAGCCAGTGGTGAGTGGCGTTGAGCTAAATGGTATTACGTCCGAGATAGCTTCCATATCATGAGATGAGTTTAGCCAAGGTGGGTGGACATAAAATAAAAATAATAAAGACACCTGGAATGTGGCGTTGCTGCATGAACTCAAGAACTTTCAAAAAAAAATCGCTATTCGTCCGTGGGAGGGGTACATGCGGGGTTTCCCAGCGCTCATCCCCGCATGGACGATCGCTCCTTCACACCTTCAGTAGTTGGCGGAATATTTCCAGGATAGAACTAGGATAAAACTTAACCGGACATGGTTATGTAACGCCAAGATCTTTTTAGATTATATGCATAGCATTGATGGATCTAAGTTGCCCTGATTATTGTCCTTTGAGCACTCCCTTGACGTAAGAGTAACACTGCTAGTCTAACGCGGACATATCAAGGCCCAAGTTCTTGTGGAGCGTTTTTCACTCCAGAACCTCAAAGCCTACTAGATCCGGTGCAAAGCCTTGTTCAAACCCTCCGAATACCACGCTATTCCCCGTACCTTTAACGAATCCGTCTGCTTCAATTACCAGACGTCCACTCTCCTCCCAGTTGCCTCCCGAGAGCGGGAATGCCCACCTCTTTGCTTTGCCGCCGTTCACCGCGACTGTCATATTCCTTGTATTGTCCCCCCATCCCCAAGCAGTAGTGAATGCATAGTCGTAGTTGATGAAGTCGATACCGACCAGTCGCTTGCCGGCAGACTTGGTTTCCACGTTGGCAAAGGTTACGCCGCCTTTTGAGTCAATGTTTCCAATTTTATTTCCATTAGGCAGACATGTACCAGTCGCGCACTTGACAACTCGAGCTGAGCCCGTAACTGACGCCTTCGCGGCGGCATAGTATGATGTGGACTTGAGAGGAGCGGCCGTAGTAATGCTGGAAAGCAACCATAGTCGCAACTCGTGTCCACCCAAGTTGATGTTTTGCGATCCAGAAACAGTGCCGAGGTCCTTCGCGGCCCAAACATCGCGGGCGTTGGCTGATGCGATACCCAGGGACGGTAGGTCAATTTTCACACTCTGCGAGTTGTTCTTCCAGTTGGCAATAGCCAATACCTGCCTGGATTCTGAGAGCTTGCCTAACCAGATGTCCCATTCCTCCTGGGTGTAGCGACGGACTAGGCGCGCTTGCTCAGCGAGAGAATCTTGGTTGATTGCAATTACTTCTTTGTTGGACAAGATGTCAAGCGAGGATTTGCTGAGGCGGCCTGGATCAAGCGCTGCGCCAATTATGAGCGGTGACTTATTGATAGCCCACATGCCGAAATGAAAACGCTCTTCCTCAACCGATAGTGCATTGAGGCCAACACTTCGTCTATCAGCTAGTGTCCAGGTAGTAGGAGAGTTTACTTACGTCAACATATCCATATCTGCAAAAGCACCTCTTGCTGTATGTCTAAAGTACGGCACGACTTCGTTCGTGATACGCCAGATGCTGCGCCACCCATTGTAGATGTCGTTGCTGATTCTCCACGAGTTTGCGATACCCGCTGCCCATTTGCCGACATTGGTGCCAATACCCCACTGGCAGAGAAAGTATTGAATGTCGCGGTTAACTGCTTCCAACTCAGCGGCCATGTGCTGGAAACGCGCTGGAGACTGGGCCTCAGCAGAGCTGGAGTCAACCATGGTCGTTTTTGAAGTGGCATAGCAGTTGTCATATCTATGAATGGTCAGTGATTTTGAATGAGCAGAGAAATGATGGGCTTCGTTACTTCAGGCTATCTCCACCCCATTCCGCGAAGCTCTTTGCATCTACCTGCTCGAACCCCAAACTAGCGGGCAAGTCTGTAGATCCGCACTGCAGATATCCAGCCCCAGAGTAGAGTCCGAAGTCTAGCCCCAGTCCGTGAATAAAGTCGCCGAGTGCCTTTCCGCCTGAAGGAAAGAGAGTGGCATTCCATTGAAGTTTTCCATCAGCATCTCGGTCGCGCGACGGCCAGCCGCAATCCACGGTCACAAACTTGTAACCGACTTTATCAAGACCAAGTTTGATAAGGCCTTGGGCGCTCTGTTTGATCTTCTCTTCCGATGGTGAGCAGTTCCAGGTGTTGTACGAATTCCAGCCCATGGGTGGTGTCGGTGATCGAACAGTTCTTGCTGCGGCTTGAAGCGCGAAATGCGCCGTTACGAGGAGAAACGTACCCGCCATCTCAGTGTATTGTGTGCCAGTTCAAGGCTCGGTTTTAATTATCGTAGTTGCAACAACCACGAGGCCATTGCGAGACTTATATGGATAGTCTCGAGTCATTGTGCAGCTGAAGGCGACCAGACGTGACGATGCGGGCGACGGAGAAATTGAGAGCCGTACGAAGAAGTCTAGGATGTTTTTGACAGTATTATTCTGAATGGCCGGACTGAACTAAAGTAGTGAGTTCGTATCTAGTAGGTGCAAGGTACCTTGCAAGTTTATCGTCCAAGAGCGTGAGGGGAAGGTCGGAGATCTCCCGGGAGTTCCGGGAGCGGTGATCGAATTTCCCCGCATCGCCGGATCCAAGCGCCCAAGAAAGCATGGCCTATGGCTATTCTATTTGGTGCTTTCGTTTGAATGTACGACGTCACAAGACACAAATTAGATTATTTAGGCTGCATCACAGGACCCGTATCGTATCGCGTAATATAGGCTTCTGGTATCGTCTATATGCTACAGAGTCTAAGATATAACCTCTCGATTGTTCTAATGCGGCGCCACATCCGAGCCGAGTATATCTTCAATTCCATATGTCCGTATAGATATCCTTATGCTACTCAAAGGAAGATAACAGGTCCAATTTCGGTACAGGTTCGAGATTCTATCAAGTTTTGAGAAATGGCATGGCAACATATGTCACACTGCTCGTATGCAAACACTCGGCAAGCATCTTTACCTAATTGTAATAATCTAACTAGATATTAGCAACTATACTAGCGATTCTGCTTTTCTGCGTGTTACCCAGACCCAAGGAGGCGATCTTCTTACTGGGGAGTGAACAAATGGCTCCACAGGGATCGGAAAATGTGCTTCGCTTAAATACCCAAGCAGGTCTCACAAGCTGCTGTTTTCAATAATCTGAATGGTTGCAACTTCGTACACGACTAATAATTATAGTGCTCTACCGTGCGAGCATGTCGGCATTTGCAACCCAACCCTTGTCTGGACCCCACAAGAGCCGGAATTTGAAATCTGGGGTGCATAGGACACAGATCACTTCTTAAACAACCATCAGCATCACCAAACATGGAGGCTTTTTTGAAAATCAGCATCACATTATTTTGTGAACTTTGAGTCGGCCAATCACCATGGGGCCAGCTCTTGCTTTTATCGCACTCGCGGTTCTTTTCCAGCATATCGCACATGGCCAAAACACCACGAATCCAAACTGTACCACCGTTAAAGAGCAAACTTATGATTACATTGTAATCGGCTCTGGTGCTGGTGGGATTCCTGTTGCCGACCGCTTGAGTGAAGCCGGTCACTCGGTGTTGTTGATCGAGAAGGGCCCACTGTCTAGTGGAAGGTGGAATGGCACGATGAAACCTGCCTGGCTAGAGGGCACTAATCTAACGCGCTTCGACGTACCCGGCCTTTTCAATCAGATATGGGCAGACCCTACCGGTGTGGCCTGCGAAGATGTCGATGTCATGGCTGGCTGGTGAGTCTTGAGCAAGCTGTTTATGCTCGATAAAACAGACTTGGATTGAAACGAAACACTAATTCACAATAGTGTGCTAGGTGGCGGTGTCGCGGTGAACTCCGCACTTTGGTGGAAGCCACATCCAAGCGATTGGGACGTCAACTTTCCCGTGGGATGGAAGAACAGTGATATGCAGAAGCACGTTGAAACGGTGTGGCAACGTATTCCAGGAGTAAGCCTCCCAACTCTGTGCGACCAACAGCGCAATGGATGATACTAATGCCCAGTCACAGACGTACATCCCATCCAAAGACGGGAAACTCTACCTGCAGCAAGGCTTCGATACTGTATCAAAAGGTTTAGAGGCCGCTGGCTTCAAATATGTAGTACCGAATGATCACCCAGATCAAAAAAACCACACATACGGCCACAGCACGTTCTTTGTCGAGAATGCAGAGCGCCACGGTCCGCTCGCAACTTATTTGGTCACCGCTATGAAGCGGAAGAATTTCGCCCTTTGGACGAATACAGCTGCTAGAAGACTTATCAGGACTGGTGGTCACATCACGGGTGTAGAATTGAAATGCTCAAAAGAGGGCACTGTTGGTCCCGGCTACGGTGGCACCGTCAGGGTTACTCCTGGCACGGGCCGAGTGATCTTGTCAGCGGGTACCTTCGGATCTGCAAAGTTGCTTTTGCGAAGTAAGTGTGCACATGCAAGATCAGTTTTTTGCTAAAGCCTTGCAGGTGGTATTGGCCCATTGGACCAGCTTGAGGTTGTTAGAAACTCTACTGTCGATGGAGCTACAATGATACAATCGAATCAATGGATCAATCTGCCCGTTGGCTATAATTTGAACGATCATGTTGGTGTAAGTATTTTTCCCTGAAATTATCATTGCACACGTTTATTAACACTGCTACTGTAGACAGACATTCAGATTGCACATCCGAATATTGTATTTTACGATTTCTACGGCGCTTGGGATAAGCCAATTCCGAGCGACACAGAAGCATACCTTAGTAAACATTCCGTGATTTTCATATCTGAAGCTGCTACTAACACGCTGCGTAGGGAACAGGAGCGGAATCTTGGCGCAAGTCGCGCCTAACCTAGGCCCAATGGTACATATCATATTCTAAATCATATCTTTATTCATAACAGACCTTGCTGATACCCAATAGTTTTGGCAACAAATCCAGGGTTCAGACGGCGTAGTTCGGCACATACAATGGCAGGCACGTATCGAAGGCAGAACCAATAGTGCGTGTCCCATATTTGTACACGGAATCTCAATAGTCTCGATGCTGACAGCGATCCAGCCTCGATGACAATCACGCAATACCTCGGTATGGGCACACTGTCGCGCGGACGAATGACCATACTACCGAACATGAACACTCGAGTTTCAATCGCGCCGTACTTGCGCGATAGCCATGACAAAGAAGCCGTGGTACAAGGTATCGACTATATCAGGGGCGTGTTGAGCCAAATCCAGAATTTGACCTGGGTCGTGCCTACCGTGAACCAGTCCACAACCGCATTTGTTAATTCCGTAAGTTATAGCTAGTAGCGAGCACGTAGATTTTCATGGTCCCTTCTCCTTACTGTGGAATCAGCACTCTAACGAAATTTACTAGATTCCAGCTACCACAGGCTTGCGAGGGTCAAACCATTGGACTGGCTCGTGCACAATTGGCTCTGACGATGGAAGAAGTGGTGGCAGGGCTGTAGTCGATCTCGACACCAAGGTTTATGGTACTGATAACCTGTTTGTTGTTGACGCATCTATATTTCCAGGTATGACTACTGGAAATCCGTCCGGTGCTATCATTACAGTTGCAGAACGTGCAGCGGGACGGATTCTTTCTCTCAAGCCGTTAGGCACCAGTGCTCTAGACTGAATCTAAAGAATAGTATCCTGCTACATCTTAAAGGATTATATGACCCAGAACAGAATGAATTTATGTGGGACTAGATGCTATTATCAGTGATTAATCAAAGCGGAAGCTTACAATTGAGGGTAATGAACTTCTAGCATTAATTAGGTTGGCCTAGCATTGCTATCAGCTTGATACTAGATTGAACTGCTTATTTGGTCGGACTAGGGAGCACTACTCTCGCCAGAAACCGCCTTTGTATGGAAGCGCGACACTCTAGCCACATCATACATCATCAATCTTCGTCTTGGTCATGGGCGTGAGCTGATGGTGCAATATCGCTTTCACATTTAGCGGAGACAGAGAAGCCAAAACACAAATCCACTTCTTAGCATTGTTTATTCATGTTGGCACTTTGTAATAATCAGCATCGTTCATTATCATAGGCACTTCTTCCACGATTGGCACAGAGCTATATGGAGCTTTCAAACCTCATTTACTACGTACAAGGGAGTTTAATCGAAAGTACGTTATCAGATAAGCCAGAGATGATTTGATATACCATTTGTATTACGCTTGACTATGTAAATGCTGCCAGATAACTATTATGCGTCTTTGTCCCTTCCCAGCCAAGATCCTCTCAATGTATGCAAGCTAATCAAGACATTGTGTACAGGCTCGGAATTTCGTAGCCGGAGTACCCCAGAATGAAACGTCCAACAGGAACATTATGAGTGTCGAGCAATGTGCTCGACTTCTAGGGTATCGCAGAATAAAACAAGGTCGTGTGGGGAAGACTGCTTACACCCACACTCGCTCGTTCGCAGAAAAAGAAAGAAAAAAAAAAGAAAGAGAGAAAGAAATAAAGAAAAGCCACCTTTTTGACCCATTGTGCTCCATAAGAGCAGAGCTATCGATCGTCGTATCATCGTGAGGATGGCGAGAGTGATATCAAAATCTGCATCGCCCGGCTAAGAGCCGTATTAGGTGAGCGAAGTTACACCCACAGCTTCAGGGTACTGTTGGCCAGGACATCTAGCTCTCGAGTCTTGATCGGCTTCTTCGCGGAGTGGGGCAAGTTGGCAATGCGGCTCTGAATGTACTTGACCTCGGCCTTGAACAGTACGCCCTCGTCCGCGTTTAGGAGCTTCTTCTTGCCATTGGCAATATCTACGCACTGCTTGAGGGCATCGGTAGCGTCCTTGCGCGCCATGTTGGGTAGATTGTCGCCCTTGTAGAGGTCCTGGACGGTCATCTGCAGCTCGAACAAGGTGTTCTGCATGTGGAGCATGAGGTCCTGTTTCTCCTGGCAAGCTGGAGTAGTAACGGTAATGCTCGGTGCCTGCTGGCTTGACTGGGTGGCCTTTGAGGCGTTGGCGAAGTCAGCAAAGCTCTCGAAGTCGGGACCGTTGTTCGGTTGCGTAAGGATCGCGTCTTTGGCTGGTGCCAGGGGTGCAGAAGCAGGCAATCCGCCACCAGGAACGATTTTGGCGAGGTTTGCGAATATGTCGACGCTCGTAGCACCGCCGGTATTGGTTGGGTAGGATCCAGAGACTGGGACCGGCTTGGGGTCAAGCGGGTTCTCGAAAGGTGTCGGGTGGATGACGGGCTTGCAGATAGCCTCGATACCCTTTGCGAAATAGATGAGCTCCTCTGGCAACGAGCTCTCGTTCTTCAGAAAGGTATAGAGTTTGTCGAGGCGCTCGACAGGCCACTGTTCTTTGAGGACGCGGGCGCCCTCCTCCTCCAGTGGAATGTTCTCATTCATCGCTTTGAAGAGTGCGTGCGCGGGCTCGAGAATCTCAATGGTCATAACCCGAACGATTTCGGCCATGTCGATCAAGTTGTTGTTCTGCACAGCAGCCTCCAGCATGTCAATACCCTCGCGCATTTGAGGTCCGTAGAGAGCTAGCTTCTCTACCTGCTGCATGTAACGGCCTCGGGCAAAGTCGACGATTGCCTGGATCCGCTTACGCTCCTCTTCCTCTTGAGCGAACTGCCACTGCTGTTCCTCGGCTTGATGGCGCTGCTCCGACTTCCAGGCGTCGATATTCTCCAGAAGATACGCAGTGGCCTTCTGCTGGTGGTACTCCGCGATGGCCGGATCGATGCCTGAGTGGCCGGAAGGCAGGCCTACACCCATATTCATGCGCTGCTCGCCAAGAATGACCTGGAGTTTCTCATGGATAAACTTCTGGCGCGCGGTGTGGTCGTAGATGGGGCCATGGTTCGGAAGCGTCGACAGATACGTGGGCTCGGGGACGGGCTCGGGGGGTGCCGAGCACTGTCGATGGAAGGTAGGGTAGGCAGCTTCCTCCTTGGCGATAGCTCGAGCTTCAGCTACTCGCATCTTGGCCTCCTGTAGTTGAGCAATGCGCTTCAGGTGCTGGCGCTCCTCATACTTGGCGCGGGCCTCCTCTTCTGCTTTGCCCATATCTGGGAAGGTGAAGCGCTTCTGCTTGTCGATGCGTCCTCGATCAGCACCACGACTCGTAGTCTTGCAAGAGTCAGTGGACGGATGGTCATCAATAGTGGTAGGAGCACGAACCTTTGTGGTGGAAGGGGTTCGGAACTGCGTCTGGTTGAAACTACGAGAGACTTTGCCGAGGCCGGTCGCAACGATGTATGGAGCAGTGCCCTTGATGGAATCCTATAAGCACCATTAGTATTAGGATAGATAGAGAGGTAGACAGAACGGACCATAGCGACGTTGTAGTGGGTCTCAAGCTTCATGTATTCATCATCGTAGAAGGTCTTCGCATTCATGCGGAACCGGTCAGAGATCTTATTCGCCTTGGCGCGAAAGTTTGCCTTAACTCGAAGTAGAGACATGGTGATCAGAAGCTCAAAGCTGGAGCTCGGATCAGGACACCGAAGATCTGATGGAGCTAGAGTGTCCAGATATGTCGTTGAGGTGTGGCGGTGGAGATCGTTGACTGAAGTAAATGGTTGAGGGAGCGGGCAAGGGACTGTTTATATCTGCGGAGGAGCTCGTTTGTGCCAAGGAATTGTTCTGACTAAAGCTCGGGCGGAGACGAGGCTGGGGGCCGGCTACCGTGAAGTGAAGTGAAACGAAGTAAATAGTGTTGAGCGGGAACCAGTATGACGAAGACTTGGGGGAAACGGAACTGAATTAGGTATGGCGCAGTAGGAAAAGGCTCGTGCGTGAGAACAGGCGGGAATTTGATCGAAGAGAGGAATTGAAAGTGTGAAAGAGGAACATTTGGTGAAGCGCTGAGTGTTAGCCGAACCTCCACGCCGTCGAGCTAATCACTTTGTTCCAGGATCAACAAAGAGAGTGGATGGCGACCTACAAAGCGTATGGTCCTCACATCAATGGCGGATACATTGTATTTCATCTCTCATTCTTCTACTGTTCCATAGTGCGCGAACAATGTTCAGTTTGCACACTGCGTTCCTCGAGCTATGAGTAGAGCGCTGCTGGGATGGGCGTCTAGTGTAAGTCAGCTGCTTCGCAGTCAGTGCATACGCGAGCCATACAATTGATGGTATGCGCTAGGGCCATACGGCTACGCACGAATCGAAGTGTGAAAATAAGAAATTTGGATGTTGAGGCCCCAACGTGATATAGTATAAGGCACTGTGAAAATAGAACAGACCCGCTAAACAGGGATAGACTGCGCACGAGTAGAACGTGACTGTGAGAGATGTGAAGGAAATGTAGTCCTCAATTGAGCAAGAAGAGAACGGGTAAGGAAAGACGTCAGGGGAAGCACTTGCCGTTGGCGTGAATAACGTTGTTGGTTCCAGAGTCACGTGCGTACTTCTACCTTCGCGCAGCTTATTCGAACTTCGACCTACTAATTCTATAGGACTCGGAAATGTCAGCGATGGCAGCACGCGAAAGCTGTAATGTAGTTTCACGCCTACACAGCATTGCGACAAGAACCACTGCTTGCGCCAGCATCGTTGGCAACATCGCACAACACGTCATCGCACGAGCAGCCAGATATCCAGAACCCAAACGCAGAGGATACGCGCTAGCTATGTTGTTCTCGCACAACGTGAGAGCGGGTCGTCATAAGTAGGTGTGAAAGTTGGCAGACCAAGAGAGGAAACGAGATGCGAAAGCGGTCCAGCGAATCGACCAAAGTCGAGACACAATGTCTCGGAAGAAACAGATCTGAGAAGTGATTTAGGGCCAGCCAGCCAGCCAGCCAGCACGCCAGCACGCCAGCACGCCAAAGCTACCCTACACCAAGGAAAGCCCATTTTCTCGTGGCTTTTCGTGTTCGGTTCGGTTCCAGGTAAATCATCGTGTTCGGTTCGGGTCGCAATCCTCCCTGTGGGCCTGGCCGATTCGAGATGGTAGCTCGGCTGTCCTCCGGCGCTACTTCAGCTGTCCTGCCAATACTACAAAAAAAATAAAATAAAGCTTAGCTAATTTAGCCTTAATTAGCTAATAGCTAGTAAGTACTAATTATTTTTAATAATTATATATTAGAATTAAATTGCAACTAAGTTACAATCTAACTTTTTAATAATTATATTATAATATTTTAAATTAATTCTAAGTTAGAACGTAGTATATACTATAAATTAATTAATTTTAAGTAGTAATTATACTATTTTATATAATATTATTAGCGCGAAAATAAGCAAATAAACTTTTAATAAAAATTTTTTTTTTTTTTTTTTAACTTAATTATAACCTAATTTTCTATAAATTGCAACCTACTTTTATAGTAGTAGTTATATTTAAAATTAAATTTTATTGCTAATATAATTTAATTTGCTGTATTTAACTATATTATATAGCAAAAATTTGGATTTTTACCCAAGTGGGTGACCAAATTTGGCAAAAAAAAAGAAGAAAAATACAGCTTTTATTGTTGGAAACTGCAGGATTTGAACTCAGTTTACTGCATATAATTTGGATATAATTCAGGTATAACTTAGATATAATTTAAATTTAATTAGACAATTTATTAAACTTGGCTATATAGTTAACTGAATTATTAAGGTTTTTAGAGTCGTAGAAGCTTTTTCTTAATAGGCTACAATATTTGAATTTAACTACAATTGTATAGCTGCAATAGCAGCTCAAGCCTCTATTTTTTAAAAAAAAAAACTATATTATATATATAATAATATATCTGCATATATATATAAAGTCTAGTCTAAAATTTATTTTTACTAAATTTTAGCTATAGCAAGCCTAAGTATTAAAAGTAATAGTAATAAGCCTAGCACTATTTTAAACTAAAACGCAACTAAAATTAATTTTAATTTTATTATAATAAAAAATACTAAATATAGTCTATTTTAAAAATTAAATCTAGCTAATACTTAGTATTATTCTAGTTCTAATATTAATAAAAACTTAGGATTTATTAATAAATATAATAAAAAAAGTAAATAAGCAAGCAACTATAATTAAACTAAATTTAAACTTAATAAAAGTAACTAAAATTAAAATTAAGCTACTAAAAAAAGCTATATTATAGTATACTATTATATTTTAAATACTGCTTTTTTTATTACTTTAAAGCAACGCAAAATAAACTAAAATATAATTTAATTTAAATTTAAAACTTATACTTATATACTTAATATTTTTAATATTTTAAATAATTTTATAAATTTACTTAATTCTTCTAGGACGCTTAAGCTTAATAATATAGTAAGTTTTAATTTAACTAAAATATAATTAAATATATATTAACTATATTTTAGCCTAGCTATATTAAGTATATAGTATATAAAAAGCGTTTTACTAGCTTTTTATATATTACTATTATAAGTATTTATTTAATTAGAATTAAAATATATTTTAATTAATTTATATAGAACTTTAATAAAGTATAGTTTTATATTATTAAAAATATTTTTTATTGCAATACAAATATTAATATTAGTAAGCTGCCTTTCTGTTAGCAATACGCTTATTTAGTATTTACTTAATTTTATTTTAATTGTATTTTAGCTAACTTATTTAAAAAAAAGTTTAAAATTATAAATATTACTATTAAGTATATTATATAATAGTATAAAGCAGATATAAGTTTATACTTAGTTACTTTTTAAATTTATTTTAGTACTAATATTTATATAGTATAATATAGCTAGCTTAGAATTTATTTTTTAAACTAAAAGTTAATTAAATAACTTTTATATTATAATTTTAGCAAGTAAGTATATTAATTTAGTATAAATTAAATTAAAATTAAGCTAATATTTATAAACTTTTATAAAAAAATTGTAGCTAAAATATAAGCTATTATAAACTAGTATAAAATTAAAATAGCGTATATTTTATAAAAGCAATGCTATAAAAATAAAAAATTAACTAAAATTAATTACAACCTAGTCTACTTAAATAATATAGTAATAATAATTAATAATAAATTTAATACTTTTTACTTTTTTATTTAAAAATATATAAATAAAGTTGTTTAAAAAGAAGTACAAACTTAATAAATTTTAAATTAAATTTTAGCTAATATATAAAATAAAAATGCTGCAATTGCTGCTAAATAAACAATTTAGCAGGCACTATTTAAAGCTAGCTTTTTTAATATTTTAATAAATAAAATAAAGCCCGCGAAAACGGGACCTAATATATTATTAATAGCTTATATTATTAATATTTTACTGTATATTGCATACTTTTATTTGTAGAATTGCTAAGCAATAAACTTTTAATTTTTAATATAACTTTCTGCTAAAGCGCGGCTTTTTTAATAATTTTTAAGTATATATTTAAATATTTAGTATAATATTAGCCTGCTGCTAAGCAACTAACTAATACTAGGCTTTTAAGCAATAATAATACTAATAATAATAATAATTTTTTTTATAATATTAGCCCTAACTTTTAACTGCTTTTTTTTTTTTTTTTTTTATTTTTACTTTTTTTCTTTGCCTACGCAAGCTATTATTTGTAGTATATTTAAATTATTGCTTTATTATTTAATTCTTGCTGCTTTACTGCTTATATTTATCTACGCACTAATTTAACTATTTTAAAAAACTATATTTTTTAATTATTATACTACTAATAATAGCAGGCTTTAAAAAAATTAATCTAATATTCTGCTAAGTTTAAGTTACTTTTAAAATTTTTTTTAAACTGTAAAAGCTTAATTCGCTAGTTTTTAATAAAAATAAACTAATTAGTAGTAAAATTAAATAACTAAATTATACAGCATTTAATTATAAAAAGCTTTATAAATTGTAGCTGCTTTATTGCAAGCAGCTTATTATAAATAAACTTAAAAAAGTTTATATTAAAAAAAAAAAAAGTAAATAGCATTTTTTATTAAAAAAAGTTAACTTAGAAGTTCTTGTAAGTTTTTTTAAAATATTAATAATTATTAAATATTAATTTAAAGTAATTAAGTAATAGTAAGTTATATTAGTTAATTATTACTAGCTTACTATTTGTATAGCTTGCTATAATAGCAATTTATAAGCTTATATATACAAAGTTTTTTATAAGTATTATATTATTTATAATTAATATAAATATAAAAATAAAAAAAAACTTAAAAAAATAAAAATAAATTTTAATTTATAATATAAGCGCGTATATATGTGCTTTTCTGCTTATATATCTAGACCCTTCTAAAAACCTTTAAAAACT